ATTTATTATAAACAAGTTTCATTACTCGATCATCCTTTTTCACGTAATTATATTATTGATAAACGTCGTGAAGCATTTGGTTTTAATATTATCGATGAACATAAAGTTATAGTTAAAAGGAATGGAGAATCTGTAGAAATTAGATTATCATGATTTTATATGTATATAGATTTTTTTTTGTGTAAATAAAGTTGAAATGAAAATGTGTTTTTTAAGTCATTTTTATTTGAAGTAACAAAGATTATTTCTGATTGTTGTATGACTCCGAAGGTTAGATGAATATTCAGGTAAACGTGATACATTGTCTGGAATCAGGCACGTACTGAGAAATTTTCTGAGCGGAGTGGGCACAATGTGAAAAAGAAAAACTTCGCTGCGCAAAAAAATTCTGCCTGTACCCTCCTCCAGGCGTTTTTACTCCTGAGGGGGGAGCGGGCTCATGCCCCCCCCCCCCCATCTTCGGTACGTGCCTGTCTGGGATGCTTCCAAAATAAAATGTTCAAAAATAATTGTTACATTTGATCATTTCCTTGAATCATTATTGTATTCAACTACGTATATGTAAAATATTCTAAGGACATTTCGATTAGCTACAAGTCGACAACTAGAGTTTTATTCGTGTGCGTCTATTTACATAATCAGTATGTATGTCAATCATGATCATTAAATTGTTTCTGTGTATGAAGCTTTTCAAGTTTCATTGATATTTGAAAAGATTTCTACATATTTACTTGTCCTTGTAATTTATTGACCAAGCTAATCGAGAGATTTGATCGATATAATGTGGTGTACAAATTAGTCATTTGCAATTTAGAAAACTTTAATTATATAGGTTGTTCCTTAAGTGAACAGTCTGAATAAGGTCTTTTGTTTACAATATTTTGTTGGCAATCACGTCTCATATGAAACATGTGAGAGAAGTCATTGACATATTCATTTTGAAAAAGCTATTTAGGAAGTATATTGAATCAAAATCCGATATCCGTATTCTTTACATCTATTTCTCCCTTATCTGATAATTTATTTTCGTTGAATAACAGAATTAAAAATATACAACTATGCTATTTCGAAATATCTATCAATCCTCAAAAGAAGTGGTACCTATACCCTTCCTCCTCTCTCTCACTAGTTTGTTATTCTCTTTAAGGCCCCTCAAAAATCGATCTCGGGTTCGGTACATGCAAATCGCATGAAATTTTCAGAATACGTTGGGGCTGTAATGGAGAGGCTATGATAAAATTTTCAGCCCTATAACATGACGTTTTAGGGAAATATGCCTATTGACGTAACCAGAAATTTAAGGGTGATGGGGCTCAGCCCCAGACTATGTCTAGCTTTTTGTAGTCACTTATTAATTTATATGTGTAGAGATTGATGATTATCAACTCTCAGATATAATATCAGAATCTAGTTCAACAGTTGTTTTCACACTGAGCAGTCTTGATCAGTGATAAATTAATTTTTGGATGTGAACAAAATACATTAAAAACAAAAAAAAGATAATTTTTATTTCAACATAATACGACTATTTTTATGAATATCAGAAAATTTATCAATAAGCTGCTCAAAATTTACATCAATGTTACGTTCGACAGTTAACAGGCATAAATCGCTTAGACGATCATCAGTCATCAGTGGCGTAGCTAGGAATTTTTGAACTATGGGCCGTTTACCAGCTAAATTATTTTGAGCACTGGGCAATAATGGGCAATTCAAAATCAATTGGGCTACTATTGTGGAACTCACATATATTTTATGAAGGAAAATAGTAAGTGTAAGTTTTAAGTTGAAGTTTTGCGGCTCCCCCATTCTCTCTCCCCATTACAGACGCCTAACAACAGGTGCCCATCACAGACATGATAGACACTTTAGCACCGGCCATCACCATTACAGACCTAGGCACTCGAGGCCAGAGGTCATTGAGTGCATTTTTCTATCAACGTAGGGTAACGAGTGTTAGAGTTCTTTCCTATATTTCTTGGCGACCAAATGTATAAAGCAAGAATTTTTATTATAGCCTGTTAGTATAAGGAAGCTAAAGATATGTGAATTGCACATTTCAGCACCAAAGAAGCTGCACTAACCAGCTTTTTTTCAGAAACTTCCGTCTCCAAGAAAAGTTAATGTTTGACGAAAAGGGATTTATTATTCTCAACTAAGAGAAGCCCTATCACTTTTGCTGAGCTTACATATAAATAGAACTTTCGTTTTTCACATAATTGGATACTTAACTTCGAAAAAAGCATGAATAGATTGAATTGTAACTAATGACCGTAAGTATGATAATTCCTATCTGTTAGGAATTTTTTCCCAAGCAGTATCGAGTTTTTTGGATTTTTTGTGTATTTTTTTCACAAAATAAGCATAAATATATCTTTTTTCATATTCTGAGCACTTTTTGCTGATGTAAACGCTGCTTATGTAAAAAAGGAAGGGTCAGGCTGGTTGAATCAGTCAGAATTCGTCAAGAGATTCTTGGTATATTTTAGTAACCTACTTTTACATGAACCGATACTATTGTAACAAACCTGCGTAATTGTTTGAAGTTGTAGTTTATTACAGATTTACTTATACTGCTCTTATTGTTTTTATAACGTATCTCCTACAGACTTCAAAGACAATAAAAGAAATGTGAAACGAAAGTAGGTTGCAAATTCTTTTAATGGCTAATATTCATGTCCAAGTAGTAGCTAATGAATATGGAAATTAAATAGAATTTCTGGTGTTATGGATTTTTAAGTTCACTTATAGATGTTGGTTGAAACGAAAATGATAGAAACGCACAGTAAAAGTTACTATAAAATAACTGGAACCCTATCATTGTATCGACTGAAAGATGAATATGGCTGGTAGAGAAGTAGATATTTCTGTTATATTGTCAAAGATATGAAAAATGACTCATGTTAGCACCTATTTCGGTCCAATTCACTCGAAGTTTCTCAGCGTTATCGATAAAGAAAAAACACTGCGAGTAAAATTCTGCATTAGTTCACACTGAACCGGTTTCTTTTTAATAACAAAATCTGTTGAGTTCATGGCATTTTTAATTTTTAAGTTACGAGACTTATGTCACTAGTCACTCTACCAAAGTATTTTACTGTAGACTACCGCATTGTTATCACATGCGTTCAATATAGTTTCATAAATTCAGAAAAATCATTGATCATTTACTTATATTTTACATCAACAAATTGAAAAATAATGATGAGAGATTTGATGAAAAATACCGCTGAATTGTAATTACTGTAATTATTTGTTTAATTAAAAAAGACCATTGAATGATTGTTCTAAATAACCACTTAGAATAGATTATTATAGGAGACAATTTGACAAAATAAAGTTTTTTCGATTCTGAAGATGCGTGTAACTCAAGATGTTTTGGTATTAGAGAATAACTATCTTCTCAGAAAATTATTGGACAATAATTTTTCAATTTTTGGGCAGTTGCTCAATGACCACCTCCTGGCTACGCCACTGTCCTACTGTCGGATGAGGCATAGTGATTGCGACGTCAAGTATTTTGCAAATATCTCACTACAAACAAATGTGAAAATCTTGATTTTCTTTTCAAAAGATGCACTGTGAAAAGCTCTACAAGAACTGTAAGAACAAATCCCTATTGACTTGTTGTGATGGTATCTTCGATACTCAAAATGAACAAGTCACATAATGATGCTATTTCTCACCATATTTAGAATAATAAAAATATTTGGAAAACTTTTTTCATTTTGCAAAACATCTCGACTTAGAAAGATGATAACACCTTGATTTTGTTTTTAGAAGATGCGCTGTCGAAAGCTCTACAAAAGCTATATGAAAACTTCCTGTTGCTAAACAGAAAAGTCTTCCAAATTTTTTTATGATGCTAAATGCCATGAGACATAGTCCCATCATGTGACTTGTTCGTTTTTGAGTATCGAAGACATCACATAACAAGTCAATAGGAATTTGTTTTTATAGTTTTTGTAGAGCTTTTCACAGTGCATTTTTTAAAAAGAAAATCAAGATTCTAATGTTTGTCTGTAGTGAGATATTTGTAAAATACTAGAGGCTGCAATCATTATGCCTCATCCGACATTTCCTCAATTGACTTCTATATGATGTTATGTTATTGAAGCAAAATCGAATAATCGTTTAGCATTGTAGTCTATCATAGACTTATTTGTATTTCTTACTATTTATAGCATATATTCTCCACAGACATAAAAGACAACAAAGCGAATATAACGTGGAAGGTAGATTAAGTATTCTATTACCGTAAATGCTTTTTGGTTTAAGTAAATCCTGTGTTTTACTTGGTGAGGAAAGTAACACTGATATTGTTTTGTTAGATGTCATTCAGTAAACCGCAATTACCTTCCTTTATGCCTCTATGTGTTGGATCTTATTACAACATGTTACGCAACAGGATTAGATGATTTTTATTTGCTTTGTTATGATCGTATTCGATTTTATTTTCGCTTCACTTTATGTTCAGCTAGCTCATTTCTTTGTTCTTTATTTCCTTTCTTGCTCCCTTTCATATACCACTTTCAAAAGAACGATAGATGAAACATATTTTTTTGATCAATAAGAGAGGGTGTTATGATCTGTGTTGGAAACTTTTAATTATACTATATCTTAAACGTATATCTTTTCTTTTTCTTCTCCTCTTCTCTTCATTTTATTCTTCTTTTCTATCCCTTCGTTCGTTTTTGTCTTCTCAAACATCGAGTCGCCTTTATATATATATATACATAAGGTGGCATGCACTGTTCTCAAAGAAGAAAATAAACAATGTTGAGGACAAACCTCATCATTATGCTACTACTGTATCATGACTTTCGACACGTGTACCCTACTCAACTCAGTTTAATGTAAAGACCTGAATTCAAGACACATTCTTCCTGGTTATTATCCTTTGAGCTTAAACCATCCTATAGTCTTCTTTCTTGTAAAAGCAATTTTCTCACCGAAGGAAGAGAGTTTCCTGGTTGAGGAAAATCGCGTTGCCGTTGTTCTTCTCGCTCTTCTTCATGAGTTGTCCCATGAACTGTTTCATCTTCCTGAAAAAAGAAATAAATTGTCTACAGAAAAAGTAAAACGAATGATATACGTACGAGAGAGAGCGATGCCAAGCTCGGTGTTAGAGCGTTTGATACGTCTTTTGACTTGCAGTCATTGTCGATAGATGGTTGTGGGACGACGACTTCTTTCTAAAAGAAAAAAAGAAGAAAAATAAAGTTTATGCTATAAGTAACGTTCGTCTGCACACTCTCTCAGCTCTTTCATGTAGAAGCGTCGTTTCAAAACTCTTATAAGATTATCTATCTACACAATTTTCAAAAGTGAGATAGTAAAAAAAATGAAACTAATTCAGGATTCCCAAGGCACGATTTAGACTCCTCGTGCACGATAATCGTTGATCAAGTTTTCTACAGAAAAATTTACATATAATAGTACTAAAAAGAGAAGTAAAAATCGATCTCAGATTCGAATTCCTCACCCTCAATTATCTTTTATCGAGTTTCATGGAAAACATTAATAATTAATACCTACTTAATTAATAATTAATTTTAATAAAAACTAACCACAGATTCAGATTCCCTATTCTCAATTACCTTTGATCAAGTTTTATGGAAAATAATCTCTTTTGTTTTCCCATTATCCTTGGATCTATTAGTTAAGTGCGGACATGCAAGCAGGCAGACAATTTATGTTTGCTACACTCTTCTCTACGAGAAGGAGAATGTCAACTATTGGTAATGAAATGTGATGATTAATCGATTTTCCACTATCGATTATGCTGCATGTTAAAAAAATTAAAAACCTGCCAGAGAGTTGAGCCATCTCTCTTTTACCACCAAAAGAGGTTTTAATTTACACTAAAGAAGCAGTCGGAACGCTTCCTTAATAACTTCTTACTTATCTTTCACCTTTTGCTAAATCGATAGAGCGAAACTTTTTTTGTTTGATTAAAGCAATTAAATGGATAGACAAGAAAACTTGGATCCAATTAAATCTTCTGTTTAAAGTATTTGTCTTCTCGTTCTTTAGTTTTCTCTGCTTGCTTCAAAAGATTATCGTCCAGACAGTTACAGTATTGATTTTTATTTTTTTGTTTTACTTCTGTTAGAGATGTTCTCCTATTTTCGAGCCTATTTGGAATGCGATGAACACTCGACACTGAAAAGGCTTGCAGTAAGAGCTTACCAAATGAATATCATCATTCCCAATGCTTGAAGGTACATTGTGAGCCATTTTGCTGCTCGAATAAATATATTCGATCGATTGTTTGACAAAAAATCTTTCAATAAGAAGAATGTAATGAAAAGATACTTTCACGATTTTGTTGATAAAGAGGATCGATGAAAGAATCAATGTATCTATCACTGCTACGCTGTTGTTTATAATAACGCACTGTCTTCTTTCTCTTCATGACACAGAACGGAAGAAAGAACAACATCCACCCTTCCGGACTTTTCTAGATGGGTCTGATATGTCATATAATATAACGCCTCAAGATCGGAAGAACGATTACAAAAAACACCATACATACTGATATATGGCGTCTTTTTTTCTTTAATTTCGTTCTCCGTGTTGTTATGCTCGAAACTGATCTTGAAAAGAATTTCGTATGCGCTCACAGCTATTTGATTAACACGATCATGAGTAATATAAGCATACAAAGAGACACCATAGATTTTCAAGATACAACGTCAGTGGGTAAAATGTGAAGAGAAAGAGAAAAAAAGAGACATAGATATCCTAAAATCAAGAGAATGAGAAAGAGAAAGAGAAAGAGAAAGAGTAATACCAAAACAATAACATGGCACATTTCACGTACATAAAAATGCAAGTCAGTGAAGAAGCAGCAACTGATGCCTTTTACGCATATACTTGACTCGTTTCATTTCAAAAAAATGTCCCAGGTGATCATTTTTACTTTTATGAAGTGCATCTCAGTAAAACATGCCATTGCAAAAGAGCGAGCGTTCAATATATGATTTCTCAATTCGTTCCAATCTTTTCGTATTGTATCTTTTTAAATACTCTTCTAATGACTTTTCCTTTGTTATGTGAAGAAGATCTGTTGCTCTTGCAAAGCGACAGCGATGGACCAGTCTTAATCCGTTTCTAAATTTTCTTAAAAGTAATTCTTTTTGGATTTTGGGTAAGCAGCAGTGTCCGAATTCCGTGAATTCTGAATTCTTGAGGAACCCTGAATCCAAGAATTAACATAATCGGACTGACAGGATCAAAAAGAATCCAAGGAAATCAAGGAGTCCACGTAAGTCAAACAATCCAACGAATCCAAGGAATCCAGGGTGTGGGTGTGGATGCGATGAAGAGAAGAACACCCATACTTCAAACCCACATCCGCGTTTACCCAGAAACCTACACCCTGAAAAAAGAAGCAATTCTCATTCGATAGGATGGACTGATTTATTTAATAGTATCAATATAATGTGGAATCAAAATTGATGGCAACATTCTCAGTTGATTGAACTGATTCAATAAAGCACAATGTAAAAAAAAGAAAATGGTCAATTTGAATCTGACAAACGACTTGTCAAGTCGAGTTTACACTTCTTTTCACTGATAGAATAGAACAATAAAGATGTTTCAAGGAAAGTTATGATCATCTCTTCAAATCTATTCCATCAATCTCTTGATGAATATTCTCGTGGTTTGCGTTGCATTGGTCTCGGAATGAGAAGCTATGATCACATGTGCTGATATCCATTAGAATCTGACAACAAGATATTTCATATCTATTATATTAAGAATTCTCTGACCATTTTTCTTGTATTCAATCACAAAAATGCTGACGCATGATTTTCTACTGCACATAAATTCAATATATCACTCGTTTCGATTTTTCTGATGGTTGACTCAGTGTATGGGAAATATTGATGGTTTTCTTGCTGTATCTGCTTCTTTCAATCTTCGAGATTCCCATAAAATTGGTGATCTTTTATCTTTAGGTTAGACACACACAGATCCTCTTCAAAGTTGTTTATTTCTTATCGATGGTTGAAATGAAACTGATTATCATTATGGAAAATATGGTTCATTGAAATGAAGTGAGATCAAAACATCAATGTTCGAAGATTTCGACGCTGAAACCTCATTCAAATATCAGAACGAAATCGAAGAAGATATCTGATATCTTACACTATACACATGTCGTTGATATTTCGTCTTCAATAGCGATTTTTCTCATTTTCTTTTCGAATGATCTCATTTGATCACATGAACAAAGACAAAATTTTCTATTCTGTCATAATTAAAAGATCTATGTGAATGTGATCTTAAAGAATCAATAAAATATTTACTACACTCATAGAATGGTTTTGTCTTCAGTAGAGACTTGATAAATATTTATTTTCACTGATGGTTTTTATTATTGAATGTAGAGTGAAAATCTTCTTAACAATATAATCGAATACATTGTTGATCAATCACTATACGAATCAAATACTAGATTTAGAAATGTGAAAAAAAAACAATTCATTAAATTATGCTACAATTTTGAATAATCTTTATCGAATGCGACACATTCATATGCATAAAAGTATTACATAAATAATAGTGTAAAAACTTTCCATTCAATTAATAGATACAAATGACAGGAATTGATTACAATGTTTTATTTTTGAATATCATTGCGTTGATTGTTCTAAAATGAATAAACTATATTATTTACAAAAGACTGGAAATAATTAACTTAGAAATCAAGACAATGACTATGATAAAAACAATTTTAGCTCCACTTTTCAAGTACAGCATACTTTGGTTTAACTTTCAGTTTGAGAGTAGTTTGGAAAAAAATCAAAAACGAAAATAGCTAAGTTCTGAATAATACAAAAATTCAATTTTTCTTTGATCAATTTAATATAGGTGTTACGAAAGTCAAAGAGTAAAAAGTTTCGTCAAATATGCTCTTACGAGGTCTTGAAAAATCCAAGAAAACTTTCATCACTAATGTGAAAAATTCTGCATATCGTGATATATTTCTGATGAATATCTCTGAGTGAGAAATACGTTTTATACCTTAGTTTTAGTATCAGTAACATTTCCGAAAGAATCAAGAGAATGCCGAGCAATTTGAATAGTAAACACAGCACTTTCAAATACTTCCGGGCAACAATCAAATTGCACTAAATTGATCATTGCAGAGGTATCTGAAACAGAAAAATAGATCAACTGTTCGAAACTCACATGATTTACCTTTCAGATCCCATTTGAAATTTTTCACGTATGAAGTCAGTTCAATTTCTGTATTTGACATTGTCGTATTAATTCCTAAATAATAATCGCACACACTATGCGAAAAATCTATGATGAAAGCTAAATAAGGAGAAAAATAATCAAAATCTCAATGATATCGTATGCTTTTCATGAGCATTGCCGGATTTTAAATGGTTCGTATCCTTTCAATTGTCCTCATTTTATTTTTTGCCTTTTACAAAATAAAATAAAGTATATTCTAACACATACCAGAATTGTCTAACGGCCATGTACCAAATTGTAAATCACAGGAATACGCATCGGATAAGATATAAAGATTCACGATAAAAATGAGATGTGAATAAAATCGTTTTTAGAGTAAGAAATACTTACCAATGGAACCGATGTAATATTCAATGAACAACTTGATTTGAATATTTTTTGTGTAACATACATAATACTTCCGGTATGTACTATACTCACATTGGTTGGTCTTAGACTGTCGAACTCCTCATCGACACTTTGAAGAAAAAAATCTATATTTATAACACACATTTTTCGAGCTCTACCTGTTATACAGAAGAATCTCTGGGATCCAAATTTTTGTGCTTGGTACTACTACCTTTGTAATATTACCATAATCTGCCGGTTCCCACATCATTCTGTTATCATCCCATATCTGTGCAGACATATGAAAAATATCAATTTTCTCAATGACTATACGTACCAGAGTCAATATGCCATTAGTTGTAAGGACTTGATTCTTCTCATCCTATTCAGAATAAAAAGAAAAACGAATGAATAAAGAAAAAGCAAATTTTAATCTTACTTACAAAGTCCATGATTTGTAGTAGATTAAATCCTATATCGACAGATACAGCTACTGAATTATCTATAGAGGCTCGTTCAAGTTTATCATGTTGCTTTTCAGCGAAAAGGTCTTGCAATAAACGCCGTTGATAAGAACCTCCAACTAACATTGACTATATCTACTTGTTCAAACATAATTATTAACTTACATATCGAATTTAATAAGTAAAAGAGGATAAAGACATAATATATTTTCATTGGTTGTTGTGCCATGTTCATAATTTCACTTGAAGTCAATAAAAAAAAGGAAAAGCATTTTTTGGAGAAATTTATGTTTGTCGCTAACAAATCTAAGTTAGTTCGATCGATGAAAAAACAGTTCTCAAGCAAGTTGTACTCCATGATTCAAAAAAAGATGAAATTGAGAACAAAGGTATGATAAAAATCTTTTACTAGCAACTGATGAATTTTCGTTGAAACGAATTTTCTTAGTCGCAAGTACATTCAATTGTTCAATCATGATCGAATCAGTTTCCATTCGTATGTTTCTATATAAATAACAGTTTGAAAAAGTAAAACTATTTTTGAAACATGAAAATATAATTAATTGTCGGATCAGGTGCCGAGTATCTGACCTAGTTGCAGGACACATGCTGGAATAGCTTTCTTTAAAGGTTATATTTAAAGTTAATGACTTTCCTGTTTTTCTGAAAAGAAGACTCTCATGATTCTACCAAAAATTTGACTAATTCTATAAAATTTCTCAGTATTTTTAGTCTTTTTTTATATTTCATGTATATCACAAGACATCAGAAAAACAGACACAAAAAAAAAGAGTTACGAAAATCGTTAGATTTAACTTTTTTTCTGTAGACAAAGAAAGAAGAATATTCTTTTCTTTTTGCATTTTATCCAAATAGGAAATTTATTTTTTTCTTTTAATGGTTCAAAATGTTACTTAGTTTCTTCGACTCAGATTTCCGATCTTATTTTTTATCCTGGAAGAAAAACGTTTGACAAACCTTGATCACTGAAAGATTTCAAGAAAGAAAATCTGGAACAAGTTTAATTGGTTGATTTCAACTTCAATCAATTCTGAAAATGACGTTCTCGTTTGAAATTTCAAATTTGAAATGTGAAGAATATTGTTGGCCAACAGCTAAAGTGAAATTCGACGTTGTTTTATCTGAAATATGTATATAGAGTCAATTGTAACAGGTCAGTGAATTCATTTTAGTTATTGAAATAGCTATTACTAAGAAAAAGCAAACAACGACTCATGATACAAAAACATATTTAATCACAAACAGTTGTTTCTTATCTATCTTAATCGCTTGCTTGCATGATCGAATATCAATCTCGGCATTTTCATTGAAATACAATCCTTTATTTTGTTAGTGGACCATTTCGATATTCGAACAAGTGTGCATGTCGTCCGAGACTGCGCACGTCAAATCATTCATTTTCAAAATTGATACACTGGAAATTTTAATGAACAAAATTTTCCAATATTTCATTTACTACAAGTTGATTTTCTGACCTTGAAAGGCATTGATAACTCATCTCAATCATGGCAAAAATATATGAGTTAGGTTTTCTGAAAACTAAAGAAATCTTTTTTTTTTGTGTTTTGATATTTCACTTTGAAGTGGAATATATTCCATAAAGCTCTCTATTTCAGTTCGACACCTTAAGTCGTACCGCTGTATTTATCATCTGCTAACGACTTGGTAACCTTCAATCAATACATATGAAGTTTTTAGGGTGTTTCAAGTCGAGATTGACTAATTTTGTTGCCTAACATAGATTTTTTAATTCAAACAAAGTACCACATGTTCTATGTCGGATGGTACAAAAATTTTCAAACAAAATATCAGATTTCTATTCAGTTATTAGAAAAAAATTGTGAAAGTCTCGATACTTTAATCTGAATTATCTCACATGAGGTAAAGATAAGACAATTCTATGTCACTTCTCGTATATTTTTAGATAGTGTGACAATTGCATTCTCTTATCATTAACCATAAAAAATGACATTACTTATTTCCAATAAGACATACATGAAGTTTTTCTCTTACGAAAATTTCTTGAGAATTGGTTCCAACATCAAATAAACGATCAAGATCATCACGATAGGTAATCTGTTAGAAGAGTCTTCTCGAAAGAAGCAATTATAAATGTGATCAATCTATTGCCCAATGGATTGTGAACAATGGCATGTGATTCATCATGTTGACAGAAAACAACATAATGATGAACCACTATTGCAATTGATCAGTGAGCCGAATTCTGTTCGATTACTCATGTGGTTTTTGACTATAATTCATTTGCCAAAACATATGCATTAATAATAAGTAATTTTTTCGATTTTAGCGTCTCTCTAGAATATAGTGGATACTGCAAGAAAGCTATTTAGGTGTAGTAGATATAGATGGGAGATTTTCAAATTTGTTCATTGATTTTGGGACTTTTCATGATGTTTGCACGCTCACACACATTCATGTCCTCTGCTGCAAAACTTTCCCTCTCAGATTCAAATATAACTTAGCATAACATCGCAGAACTTGAAGTTCTGTGAAAAATAAGTGTTTTAGAACTAATCTCTATTGCATGGAAACGATGATTGCCGTACAAGCTTTGAATGTAAGTCAACTTTCATAGGAATTAATAATGTTTGATAAAAGAGAGCACAAATCAATCCTACCAATCTGCATCATAAAGAACAACGTCGATTTTTTTTGTTTAGCATCGATAGTATGACCGAGTACCATCTGCTACCAGCTCTCAGTGACGAGTAAAATAGGATTATTTAAGCGGTCCTTCAATGCTTGATACCACTCGTAATTCAACAAAAACAATTATGTTTGCCATTGTTATCATTGCTGCTCTATTCATCTCGGCTTTTAGCACCAGATTGCCTTAGGGTATGAAGTCGAGTAAGGATCGATCGTAAAATATTATTTGTTTTATTTCATCAACAAAGTATCATTATCAATATCTCATTGAAAAATATTATTTGAAAATTGGTTTGAGTTCTGCTATACTCATTTTTTTGAAAAATAAAAATAAAATAGATTAAAAATCGGATCTTTTCTATTTTGGACTCGTGGGGTACAGCTGCTTTCAATCAATTGATGAGACATTTAACTAGATATTCAAATGAATTTTATTTATTTCAATATTATTTATTTACGGAATTTTTTGCATGTTTCCTTTGTTCTACATGTGAAAAGTATACTTTGATGCTAGTCAGGATAGCCTATAGATAACTTTCTCATTATAAAAAAAAATTAAATATTTTAACGTTGATTTGTAGCCTGTCCAGAACCATCATTATTGATAACTTTTGATGATATAACAAATACAACGAACACGTCAGGAGTCCCAGTACCGAATGGCTACGGTGGTTTGAATTGGGAAAATGTTCTGGTTTTGAATGGTTTAAATACTAGTAATCCTACCAGTGGCTATAGAACTGGTGTTATTAGCCCTCCATATCTTGCCTTTGATGGATGGGGTAGTCCTATGGCTATTACAAATGCAGCTACAAATACATTTACAATAAATTCATTTTATATCTCATTGATTATGAACACACAAACCACTTTTTTTTAATTATTTGAACTATTTCAAACCTGACGTAGACAAGCTAATATTTTCTAATCTGTCATACATACAACATGTAAAATCTAAATATTTTTTTTAGAGAAAAAATTCAGAGTTAATAAGCATTTGTAATTAATAATTCTTGGTCAATATAATTCGATTGCAAAAATACTTTTAATCTTTTTATTGTTCATTTTTATTAACTTATTCAGAAAAAAAAGAAAGATTTACAAGAAAGGAAAATAAACATAGAAATCTTTTGAATGTACTAATGTTTTATTGATATTTAATTGTTTCACTTTGACACAATTGAGCCGTGTTGTATCTCTTGTAAAATTTTCTGTAACGATTGTTAATTGATCATAATTGACTCCTAATTTCGTTAGACGAGGTAGATGTGTTTTTGTATAATTGAGAAACTGTTCAACATAATCAATATGAACAGCCTCAAGACGAAGCAAAGTAAGATAAGGATATTCAACAATTGAATACAATTGATTATCATTAGAGGTCAATTGATCTAATATGGGTGATTGTGGTTTAAGATTAATAACAGATAATTGTTTAAGTAAAGGAAAAGACCAAGCAATTCGAATGAAAAATTCATGTTTGAATGGAACTCCATCGTGCACCGCCAAAATTTTAACATTATTGAAAATAATAGTTGGAAATTTATTACCAATATATTTGAGAGAATCAAACATGAATGGTAGTGAAAAGACATGACACATGGCACTACGATATCTGTAATTAACAATACAATCCACTTGTTCAGATATTATGTTAGTAAAAGTTCCTTGAATATCATCTCTAGATAAATGACGAATTAAACGATCCATATGTGTATCGGTACTAATACAAAAATAAAATGTACGAAGTCGTGGCATATGAACAAGAATTTCATTATAAATATGAGTACCATCGATAAATGCAGTTCGACTCTCGATAGTAATATGCAAAGTTAATTCTTCAAGATTTGACATATGACAAAAAAGAGGTAGAATTTGAGCATCATATTCATAAGATAAGCAATAACATTTTAAAGAGAAACATTTCAAATTAGGTAAATTATCCTAGAAAATATAAATTAATATTTATCAATATATTATTATCGATTAAAATAACAAAAAGTTCAGATGATTAATTAATTGAAAATCTGTTTTTATTTAATTCATTTTTAAAATATATCTTCTATTCTATGATATATAAATTTTCTTTTACATTGATGACTAAGACAATTATTTTGTTTTTCTAAACTTTCAACACATAAGAAATAATGGATATTGAGATAACTCGAAAATTTTCGTTAAGTTTATTATTATACCTATATTAGAAAAATATTATTTGTATAGAAAATAAGTCATATCTGAAGATAAATATGAATATTTGCATTGTATAAAATAATCAGAATTAAATCGAATCAATGTTGTCAACACGAAAAACTTCACTAAACAACTCATCGATTCACGACAAATGAAAGTTATCCCGATCTAGCTTTTCTATATTTCATAATCCTTATCTGTCCTCACTTATTATTCGCAAGCTTTTTACATTGTTTATTATAAAAATAACAGGAGTGACTAAAAGCAAAGGTTTTTTTTATAGCTGTTGCAGGGAAATTTAGACTGAGATAAGTTTGATCTCTTGTCGACTTCTCGAACAACTAGATATATCTTCAAAATATCTGAAGATAAACATTTTCAGTTTTATTTTTAACACATATCGTTTTTGAGTAGAAAATTACATGATTGATAAACCTAAAAACTCATCAAAACTTAATCATTTGTTTGTGTATGTGTCAATGAAACTCAATCATTCAATTTATTTCTTCCAAATAGACGAGTATTCATTTTACAACTATTTAATTACAGTTGATTCAAATAAATAGTAATACATTAGAAAAAAAAAAGATCTATCTATAATAATATGAAAACAATTATTACTTTGATCAATAGTATTTTTTTTACGTTGAAAAGATTAATTTAATAAAATAAACTTACCATATTGTAAACATTCGATGAATGATATGCCATATCACCAATAGCAACAATCAAGGTAGTTAATTGTTGGAGACGACCATCAAGTAAAGCAAGAAAATCTAAGAAATTTCCGACACGAATACATAATTTGTAAAGAATTGAAGAGGAGAAGGTAATTAAAGGTAAATTACGAAGTACCAAAGGTGGAAAAAAATGGGGAAATGATCCAATAGATAAATGTTTTAAATTTTCGAAGAATTTCAAAATATATCCATAGACATCTGTTGTATAATGTTTAACTGATATTTCATTAAAATCGTTTTCGAATACAAGAATAAGATCGGTAATTTGTCGTTGAAAAATACGTCGAAATGGTGATTCAACTAAATAAAAAATAAATAATTATTGTCTAGTCTATCTATACAATAGTCTTTCATCTAAATCATTATGCAACGTTATTTACCTGTAAAATAATGTGAAACAATTTTGCCGTTAAAATTAAAGAGTTTAAGTTCAGTTAGATTAGGATAATCAGCAGCCAGAAGAATACGTTCCATAGATATTGAGTCAAGAATAAGAGATTTAATATTGTGATGAATTCTTGGCAATATATTTATGCAGAATCGATCAAGTATTGAATCAGTAAACGGGGAAATATCATCAGTTGATGTTGTTAATACAAAGTTGAGAGTATTAGTGAAAGTATTTTCTTGTACTATAATGTCAAGTCGTTGATTATCAACATCCAACAATGAATAAAGAACATCTATATTGTTGAGCTTTTTTAAAATAATAAGTAATATATCATAAGGTAAATCAAGAAGGCCAATGTTAGACAGATTCATGTTGAGTTTGACTAACACTTTTCTTATTATGCATATATATATAATATATATGTTCATTGTTCATTGGTGTCCGATGCTATTCATTGGATAAATGAATGGATGAGCTCACCAGAAAAAAATATATCATCAATGAATACACAAGTCGACATTCTTGTCTCAACTCTTTCCAGATTCTTTTTTTTCTGTAAAATCTGTTACGATTCTTCTTCGTCTTGAAATTCAGTCAAGAGTCTTTTTTCATTCCACATAGAACGATGAAAAGAACTTTCCAGAATCGAAAAATAGACAATCATCCATTGTTTTCTATGTCTGTATAAATTTCGTGTTCGTGCTTCTTCGTTCATTTCTACATTGAACATTTTACTGGTAACATTCTATTTGAATAACGTAAGTTAACTTTTAGATAAATGACTCTACATTTTCTTTTAAGGTTTTTTCATTTGTTCGAGGAAAATTTTATTAAAATGACTACGAACTTGTGATTTTAGCTTTTTTTGTAACACTTTTTTCGATACTTTATTATTTTTTGTTATATTATCTTTCTGTTATTGTTTTTAATGTTTGTAATTGTAGTAAAAACTTCAACAATAAAATAATAACGAACACGAAATTATTATTATAGACCTGTACGAATATGAAAATGAATCACCAGAATCTTGCTAGGCTCTCCAAGATTTCTGTCTATTCTCTGATGAAAAAGAATCAGACTAGATTTTCAAGAACTGCAAGATTCTTTCCAGATTACAGATTTCTTGTCTCGCCAGACAAGGTTCTGTCTACACGATTCTTGTCTGATTCACAAGATCTTGTAAGTCAGACAAGATTCTTACATTATATAGATAGAAAAAGAATCTTGAGAGATTTTTCTGCAATTAAAGAATCTGGAAAGAATAGCGACAAGAACATCGATTCGTGTAGCTTGATTAATTTACGGATGAGCATTTATTCTTTTTTTTCGTCTATCTCCGATATTATATTCATCGCTAGTCATTGTTCTAATTCGTACGATATCGAAGAATTCACATTCAAAGAAGGAAAAGACAATATTTATCACATAAAAAAGTGTGATTGAATTTTATTGATACATACTTACTATAACGAAGAAAAATTATACTTTTGTCAATATTATAGAAACTACTTTGTATATAAATGAGAAGTTGATAATTGAAATAATTTTCTAATTATTTATATTATTAGAGGTCGTCTCTGTCGTCGAAAAACTCATTTCAATTTTAGTTAACGTTGTCAGATCAAGAACAATTGAACATCTATTTTATATTTCTTATACTTTTCGATTTTTTATTTTGTTAAATTTCGTTCTAACTAAAGGTCTAATTAAGATAAAAATACTATAAGTCAAATAATAGTTGTATTGTTTCTTCATAGGCAATGTGTTTAACAGATAGAAGTCAATGTACCTCCCGTATTAGAGGATCCCCGGATCTTCTAATATGTCCGAGCGTAAAAACTCTCTAAGGGGGTCTTCTAATGTGACTTTCATGTAAAATTTTCAAAAAAATTATTTTGCATTCCATATTGCTGTTTCCACAAAAATTACTCTTGTAAACGGCTACTTATGAGATTATACAGTCATGAATAATGATGTGCTTATATGCTGCTTCTCGTACGGGTGATTTATTTTATGAAACATAGCCTAAAAACGGTGTGGAAGCGTATAAGGAAAAAATTTGGACCTACTGCCCTCACTCTTCCCCTACAGACCAATGCAGATGCCCTGACACGCCATCACAGAGCGTGGCGGACACAGTGCATTTCTTCCTCCTCGCTACAGGCTGCAACGGACTTTGTTGATACGCGATCAAAAACCGTATGATACTAACATCCTATTAGAACATATGAACTACTTCTCTGTAATTCTAGAGGATTAATTAAAGAATGATGAAGCAATGCGCCTCAAAATAAATCAAATAAAACAATTTTCATATAATTAGCAACAAAAGCTATATCATGTTTCACATTTTATTCCGTGGAGATTGCGCTAGCAGCTTTTTCTAGTGTCATCAAAAAACCGCTTGTCCAATTAGATTTCTGTGACTGTCTCAAGTTTCGTCTTCCAATAATACGTTAATATCTATGGAAGTACCTAAAAATCGATCAAAGCTCTTAAAAACACAGAGTTGTGTACGCCCGTACTGAAAACATTACAAAGATGTTTTAGATGTAGGAAAAGATCGACAGAAATCTGTGTAAAAAGTAGATTGCTCGAGTGGCATGTGCTATACTTCTCAGCAAATTAAGTTTCTATTCATACTCATTGATATCATTCATAAAAAGATTCTACGTAAAATTAAAGTGATAATTAGAAGCAATACCCTGAATTTCGATAGTATTTCCGACCAGAATCTTATTGATAAACCCCTATCAATGTACTTAGTCCTTTTGATGTCTTTATTCGAACTCTAAATAGTGCAAAACATGAGTCTAGCACTAAAATACTTCGAGTGCAAAGAAAGAATTGATAACCGACTCAAAAGACCTCGATGAATCGCTAAAGTTTAGAACTTGAACTTATTGTTTTTCAACTCTTTTCTACCGAAACTAGTATATTCTCATTTTAGGATAATAAAAAAATATAATGATATGTAGAGAATAACAGTGTTCAAGGAGCATGTAGTTTTATGCTCCTTCTGGTTCTCTTCAAATGAGTAGTAAGCATCTCCCGATCATTGGACAGGACTGAAAAATCTTTCGATAATATAGTTGGATATGAAAACAGAAAAAATCTCAGGAAAAAGTGTTTGAAATTTTTTCTTGGTCGGATTAGAAGACCCGCGTGTTCTAATACACCTTTCAAATTTTTTGCTCAGGGGGTCATCTATTGCGGGGGGGGGGG